TTTTGCTTCTCACTCAAGTCCAGATCTCCATTTCTGAGAGTATCTTCGATAGCTTCTAGAACATCAACAATACCCTTGCATTCGGGACACGCCTGGTTGTGATCGTGGCAACATTCACCTGAAAATCTCTCTTCGAATGGATCCGATAGTGCAAACACAGTACAGTGATCAGCACAAGCCTCTTCCGGTCCTAGATGACTCTTGTATACGCTTTTGAGATAATTCTTTCCAGCGCTTAAAGATCAAAGTGTGTCTCGGGTCCATGTTGCACCCGCACCGTGTTGACCTAGATTCTCAACGAGTGAGGCTATCGTCTCGAATGCTTCTTCACCAGTCGTAGACGTGTTCTGCAACCCTTGCAAGGACTTTTGCTTTGATGCACTACAAACCTCTAGCAGACGGAAACAGGTACGCTCCTTGAGCGGCTCCACATCATGTTCACGACACTCTTCATGGTAAAGGTAGATGATTTTCGACGCAGTAAGGGATGGGGATTCTCTCACCTGAAGAAAGTTTCAATGTTTTTGTTCCAAAGGCTACATCTTGGAGGAATGTGGATCTCGAAAAGAACTCAATAAAATCCCTAACTTTCTCCATGTTCAACCTGCATCGGAAAATCTCGTTCCTTGTCTTTGGTTCTCCGCGTCCTTGTTCTAACGTGTGCTTTCTAGCATTCTTTACTTGGCGTAATGAGATTCCTGGGAGAAGCTGTTGGAGTTCCGACTGAGAGAACCTGTCACTTATGAGTGATAATATCTGAGTTTTTGTTAACCGATTTGAACATTCATTGTAAGCCAGCAAAATTGCTTCGAGTCCCACATCGATTGTGATGTTGTTAATTTTGTCCTCAACAGAACGGCGACATTTGACCACTCCTTCCCAAAGTTGCTCCTGTTGTGAAGGAACAATGGTGTTTAGTACGTAAGAAACCACTTCGTCGGCTCTTATTATGAATTCTTCCTTCGACGCCCCAGACAGTGCTTCCCACTTGCAGTCAACATAGTGGGGTAATGAGGTGAAGTTACCATCAGTTATGACAGCCATCGCATTGTTTAGTGTCTCAAGGTTTCTTTTTCTCCCGTTCGCCCTCTGGTAAGTACATGCTTACTTGTTCTTCCTGCGAAGAGCTGCTAGGGACAGAAAAAGCTGATCCAACGGATAAACGATAGTGTGTCGAAATGCGTGGTGGACATAATTGCCTAGGTAAAGACTTTGGTGTTGAAGCGAATGCAGCTAGTTCCGTCACTTGCTCTTCATGTCTCTCAATAGCTGGGGTGGCTGGAGCATCAACAATTAGAGTTCGGCATGAGCTGCAAATGGCTGAAATGGTACAAGGAAAAGGATGATCAGAACACACGGAATGAAGCAAATGATACCTGTTCAAGCAAATAGTCCTTCAGTTCGCTTTACAGAAAACCTTCTAGTGCGCTTACAAATTATGATCGGTTTTCGGGCTTGAAAACAATTTTAAAAAGTAACTTTATTTTCTCGGTGAAAGAGCTGGTTGTTCATAAAAAATAGTGTTTTAGTATATGCGTTAATTGGGGTAGCGAATGCAAGGTACATCCGCCTGTCGTTAAGTTTTGATTACTAGTCGTATAAGAATGGCAATAAAAGTTAGTTAATATGTCATTAGAATGATCTTCCTTACCAGTTAGAGTTTTTTTTCTTTAAAAAAAAAGGGGGAAAGTAAAAGAATTTTCTTGGAAGAACAGTGCCACCCCTGGGTATCATGGACAGAAATAAGAAAACATAGATACAGTATATATTTACCAGAGCCTATAGCAACGACAACGCCAGTGTTCCTGTAGATTCTCTCCGCCATGAATTTGCTCACACGCCTCTTGCGGGTGAATGCTTAAGACACTTTTTTTTACACGCGATGGTGCTTTTTCTTCATGGCATGGATGACAACATTTATCCTACAGCACAATTCGCAAGTTAACAACATACCGTGTCTAACAAATGTAATTCAGGATTGAGGGGTGTAACGATTTCACTAGCATGTGTCCCCCTCCACCCACTACCCCCTCCCACATACACACACAGGTAGAGAGCTAGAAATCTACTATCTAGGGAAAAGCTTGAGTGAAGAAAGTGTTAGGTGAGTAATGCATTAGCATCACTAGGGAAGAGATGTTTCATTACGAGCCTGCAACTAAAAAAAACCAACAACAACCAAACGTAATTTGCGCGATAAAGAACAATCAGCTCTGCTCGGAAATGACAGGGTTGTAACCTGGGATTTTTAGCTGTATTTCTATGAACTGAACCCTCAAAGGGCCTGCCTAAAAAGGTGGGTGTCCTGTGGTATGTTATAATGCCAGATAAGACTCACGCATCGATCAATCCTTTAAAAATCTCAATTCATTACCTTTGCTTTATAAAGCGTAGTAAGTTGAAACCGATGTTTTGGGAACACGGTCATCCTTCCAACATCTACCTGGTCAATTGCTCTTCCGGAACGATTCAGGATCAGTTCTCATTCAAAGACACACGTGAACTCATTGCCTATGCATTAGCACGCAGTTTAATTAGTTTAGATCTTCCAAGCAAATCCCATAACACAAACTAATTCGGCAGATTTTGAGACAATATAAGGACTTCTTAACGTTGCGAGGCAGAGAGTCCATATACGGGAAAACATTCTCTACGTATACCATGGTGTCATTATCAAGTCGTAATACCGTCTCAAAATCACATGTAGTTTCTTTTTATCGTGATTCATCTATTTTTGTAGAAAAAAACGTTTAATCAATTAGTCGAGATTCAGAATACAATGATAAATCTGAGATAGGTTTTAAACTGGGTATAAGATTCCTAAAATTATACCGCCTCTATTTACATACTAAAATAACTAATTATAAGTAATTAAAAAATGTATCCGAATAATTTTTGTTACCAAGAAAGTTATCCGTGAAACAAGACATTTTCTCGCTCAAAAAGCTTCGATGCAGCATGTTTGCAAAGATTTTTCAAGTTCACTTATCTTAGAAGAAACTGGCAAATATAGGAAACCGGTAGAGTTTCACGCTCGAATTGTGATTGCGTGATAAGCGTCTGCACAGGTAAAGCTGAATGTAAACTAACAGAGCGAGCAGACGAAAAACAGCCTTCAACTTCAAGTTATTCTTATCGTTGTTTTTGGTTATAGAGATTGCTGCAATAAAATAACTGCGCTCTTACCTTTCAAAGTTAGACTTTTAGTCAACCCCTTTGCCCTTCCTGTGAACAATTTGTTGAATGTTTGTTTCTCTTCGCAAGAATCAAGTAAATTACCTCGGGAAATCTTCAATCAGTCATAAGAAAACAATTTGAGACGACAATATCGTAAAATATCGTGGTCTCTCTTCAATAGAAAAGAGTCCACTGGATCGCGATAAAAGCCATTTGTGCGCGTGTATGATCCCTAACAGATATTTTGAATCACCTGTACGTTTGGTATGACCAGGTCTTCCTCTTGTCCCGGACGCACCTGACCCCTTGTACTTTTGCTTCAACCATTCAGTCATATCATTCTCGCAGGATAATAAAGGCACCATTCCTGTTTCGTGCGGAGCCCACGCGGTGGCACCGCACTGATCACTTACCCCTCCAAAGGAACAAAGTGCCATCGTGAAATTACCCTTGAATTTCTTACACCTGATAAATCATACCCGCGAAACGGAAGAAGAACGTGACCTCGGTCCAGTCCCACTCTCTCCTATGTCCAAAATGGCGGGCCAGTTGATTTTGCATCATCTCAATGCCCTGGCCTCGTTTGGTTATTGTATTTAGCAACACAAGTTTTTTGTTTCACTATCCAGTTCTCCTAACTGTGCGTTCCTTCTTGACGGATGGTTTCATTTACTCCGCTCTAGAGGACTCTGAAATAACGGGTCACATCGACACTGCTATAAACTGCAGCTCGAATATCTCTACGTATATATCTATGTATGCATGGTCATGCTCCTTTACTGGTGGGTATTTACAAGAAATGTTCAGGCTATTAACAGACTTAGATTATATGCTAACGAATGCTTTCGTTAGGCTAACTTTATCTTGTAATCATAATAAAAATCAGGCCTGACAAAATATAGAGACTTTCCATACTTGGAGCAACGGAGAAGAATTATGACTTGAAACTGAATATTAATCAATGAAAAATTCAAGCATCGTTTAGAAAGGTCGTTATATCGAGGTAAGGCCTTCATCATTTGTGGTATTTAATGGGTACTAGGTTTTCAAAGTACAAATTAACTCTTGTTTTGCTAAATCAGGGTATTTTTTGTGCTAATCAAAGGCCTTTAAGAGCAATTGTAAGGTAAGAATCAGAGTATTTCTAAACAATTAAACTGATTTGGCTTTAACAATTCATTTTCACTTACCAAATACAGAATCAGGGCTTCATGTCAACAATTTGGTTTGTTTATGGCATGAATTATGCTCAAAGTTCCATTTTGCATGACCTTATAGAGGCATGGAGTGTTTGTGACAAAAATTTAACAAACCGTGATAAGCCAAATTTTTCTCAAGTGATTTTGATAATTGGGTCAATAAAGTAAATAATGGTATAGGTACGGATGTTATGCAAGAAGGCAGGTAGATACACTGATTTTTTGAAAAATGGCAATTTTGGGTTGTAATTTTGACATTAATTTTGGCCAAACTCTAGCCCCAGGCTCCTCTCTGTCCAATACCATGAGGGCAAAGTTACATGCATGAAATGAAAGCTCTATTATAGTAATGTTCATAGTCAAATTCATTTGGCAGCACAATTTACCAGTTGGGTTTTATGGCACTTTCAAAATGACCCCTGAAAGGATGGATTTTTTGTACTCAAAGAGCAAAAAATGAGACCCTCCCCGAAACTCTAAAACTTAAAGTCAGAGAAGTGAGCTAGATTGGCTTTTGAAATATCTCATAGCAACCAACTTCTGTGCCAAGTTTCAGCCAAATCGGTTGACCACAAGTTTTGGCCCCTGGAACACTTTCTCAGACAATGACACTTAAATCAAAGATGGCGGCCATAATCGTCATGAAATTACTTAGCACTCGCTTGCCAAAATTACGCCTGCTCTGCAGGCTATAATCACCTGCACACCTTCTTTGAACCAAGCATAATCTGAACCATCCGTATGGCCATTGAGACAATTTCCTTCAAGCTGAAAAGGGGTCATCATCAAAGGGAAGCGAACTACAAGGGATCCGAGAAAGAAGAGGAGGTAAGTCGTGTCTTATCTGGGTTTTCTCTAACGGTAAGGCCCAGAAAAATTCAATCTTTTTTTACCTATCGTCGTTTGATGCTAGCTTTAGTTTATAATTAAAATCACGTTTCGGCAAAACAATGACTTTGGCCTTCATCGCCTAAAAACCCTCGCGCCGGTTCATCGCTCGAATAACATTCTAAAGTGTTCGTATTCTTCAAGTTATTTCTTGTCCTGTCGTTTGGAATGTTTTATACGGTCGTGGTGTTAATGGAAAAGAAGTTATCTTACGGATTTTGTTTTGCCTAGAAAGTTTTCAAATGATAGCGAACGGCGAGCGCAAGTTTCTATCTCTTTCTCTCTTCAGTCAACTATCGTAGGATTTACTCTATTTTTTTAAAAAAAATCGCGCTTTGTCGAAGAAGTATTGTTTTAGCCTGAGAACGAAGTAGTGGCCTTTCCCGAAATTCAAATAAATCGAGATTGAGTCAGCGATGTCCATGTTTACATTAAGTCTGACGCGATAATTTGATTTTGACAATATTGTCATGTGAGAACCCGTCAAACACCTGAGAATTAAAATAAATAAAATAAAATACGGACCGCAAATGTGTGGTGCAAACAAACTCACGGGTGAAGTGGAGTTAGTTCTACTGCGGAATGAGTGAATTTCATTGTTTAGTCATGGTACTTTTCAGCGCTATGTTTTCATGTTTTCTACTCGAACTTCAGGAAATGGTTTCAATTGTCTCACAAAACATGGAGCCACTTTCTCTTCGCTCAACATCTCGAGGCGTACGTAATGCTCGGCTTACGGTGAACATGCCTGCGATACGATATTTTTTTCCTAATGGTGGAAACTGAAGAATCGATCTCTGAAACCGATAATGATCACATTTTGCAAGAAGCGTTTGAGCTGTGATCGTGTAATTAAACGGGGTCTTGGCAATTTGAGCTCACAAGCACGCTGGTAAGCACATGGTTAGTGTAAATAATTGTTGTTCACAGTTTTTGAATTCGGGAGCCGTTTTTGAAAGTCCGTTTCTGTAACCTTCCTGGATATTTTCTGTTGAATTCATTGAGGTACAATCTCGGAATTTCATAAGCGATTATGAACGATAAATTCGTCTCGGCACCATAATTCAGGGAGGTTTCGTTAACCGTGACATTATCAGTTTACAATTCGTGAACCATTTCTGTAACCTGCTTGGATATTTTCTTTTGAATTAATTGAGTCACACTCTCGAAATCCGTATATGTAGCACAAGTGAAGCACATTTTCAACTTTCCAAATGATTTTAGGAAACTATACTTAATTGACTCACGATAAATTGGCCTGCCATAACGCGTTGATTATTTTATCATTTTGTAGCCCCAAAAGCTCGGCTTATGACTCTGGAGGTACTGAACTTGATATACTTGATTCACAATGCAAGGTAGCCTTCAAGGAGGAAGGTTAGAATAAAATTACTTTTACGACCGTATATTGCACCCGGTTTACATATGTAGATAATTGCTTAAAAGATACCTATTAAAGCTGTATTCAGAAGCAAAGACAAGTAGGTAATATACTTCTGCCTTATTTTTATATTAAGGGATTTCTTTTTATGTAACATATATCCATTCCTTTAATTTCCTCCTTAACCTGCCTGGAAATAATTAAATTTTATGTTTTAATTCAAGTGTGAGAAGATAAAACAGAAGTGTTGCAGAGTTTTCTTTCTAGACTGAATTCAGGTGAGAACATCTGTAAACTAGTTGATGTCATATGCTTCTCCTGAATCTTTAATTTTATTGCTCTGGGTTTTTTTGAAAGGGTCTTTTATATATTTGTGTGCCAGCTAATGAGTAAAATCTCAGTGAATAGATAATAAATAAATCCATCTTAAAGTTTTTGGCATTTACTATTTTAAAATTCATAAATGGCATTCTCTTTTCATCCATGTAAAGAGATTACACATTTCTTAAACTAAAATCTGAATCATGAAGTCAACTTAACTTTAATGAGTTTGAAACTTCATTGTACATAACAACACTTTACTGGAGTATGTTACATTTATTTGCTGCCTTTCTGGTACATATATATATGTTATTTGCAGGCTGGGAGGTCTGTATGGTGAAAATACTGCCCAAGGCCATAGGCTGAGGGCAGCATTTTCAAGACCGAGGTCACAGTTTTTCACCATACAGACCGACCCTTAGCCGGTAAATAACATATTTATTTTTTTGAAACTTGATGCAATTCTTTCCGAAAGAACCCAAATGTTTTAGGGCTGTAAATACGGCAAGATCTTCCATAAACTGAACAGTTTTTGAGCCAGTAAATGGTAGTTAAAATAGAGGTGATGCAAATTCAAGAGAGATGCCTCAGCGAAACATTTTCATTTCCATAACGATAATTTAAAAGGCTTCCAAACAAACTTTGAAACATTATTTTTACAAGTATCTGTCACAATCTGACACCTGTCAATTAGAAAGTGCATAACTAAAAAAAAGCATAAGAACATTTGAAAAACAACGGAACTAGTTTGGCAAGGACTGTCATGACAATGTTTTCTTCAAAAACAGTCAATGATCTCACGGAAAGTATTATTTACTCTCATCGATGATTCATTTATGTACAAAGATTTACCTCTGTTCATTAAATAAACGGCGAGGAAAGTAATTGTGAGTAAATTCAATTTTTTTATTTTGAAGTTGTGAGAGTTTGCTTGTTTGTTTGCTGCAATGGCATGTGTAAATCTGGTCTTTCCTCCACAAAAACTAAATTCGAATGGCACACTCCAACAAGACACAAGGGGATTTAATGCGGCCTTTTCTCAAAAAATTCCTTCAGTTTCTCTTGTGCAATTTATGGTACAAATGTTCAAATTGAACAGACTTGTAAAGACTCACCGAGAGCGTATATTTGTTGGAGAACTTAAATTAAAACTTCGCTCGCTCTGTCAATGCAAACAAATTGCTTGAGAAAATTCAGGTATTAAATGAATGAAAGTTCCTTCGTTCAGTTTAACTGTAACAAAATCTCTCACATTTTAACTTTCTAGGTACATTTTGTGAACTATTAAAATTAATTGCAGACGGGTTTTAGGCCGCTTGTCAACCAACATAATGACACTATTGTTTATACAAATTCATACTGAAACCGAAGTGATTTGTCAACCAAAGTGATTTGAGTGAGAGAAAAGAGAGGATTCATAAGTTATTCATCGGCTTGAGGTAGTTACCAACGTGTTTGCTTAAAAATACTGCCCAGCCAGAAACACGAGCTATATATTTATGAAAAATGGCAATGAAAGTTGGGATGTACTTGGCGATTCACGAAAGTGTTACCGTGGCCTGTGGGCTGAGATAGAAAAATACTGACTGGGTAAAGAACCAATCAGATTGTAAGATTCATTACCGTGCCCTCTCAAAAAAAAATAGGATTACATAACCCTTTAACTCTCAAGATTTCATCAGTAATTCTCCTTACTGTCTGCCAAACAATTTATTTGCTGTTAGGTTGGAGAATTTGGAATTGGATCAACCAATTATCCCCTAATTGATATTTTTCTTTATACTCATTATTTGTCTGTTTGATATTGTACTGATGGTGTAAGGAGAAATTCTGTCTAGATCACTAGTGGGACTAAAAGGGTTAAAATCGGGGACTTCAATATGTTATAATGATTAAAATTTTTTAAAATGTAACCAAAAAATTGTGAGGAGAATCTGATGTTATGAGACAATGGAAAAACCTGTTGCTGGTTCCTTATCTCTTTAATGTTTAAATGTTCATGGGAAATGCGTTTTTTTTTTTAAAGCGAGGATACAGAAGTTTTCAAAGCTGATAGAAATAAGCTGTTTGCTAGTAATGAAAAGCAACCTGACAATCACACCTTAATGTTTGACATGCTTCACTCAAACATGTCAGTCGTGTGTACCTACTGTTGTAGAGGTGTCTTTCTTGCCCTGTGGTTCATGAGCTGTCGCCTCTTATCGAGTCCAGCTTTGTTTACCCCCATTGCACTTGCCTTAAACCAACATCTACCAGAATCCTTTAAATAGTTGATACTAAGATAGGAAAGGGCCCTGGTGGTCAGCATTGAGTTTGGTCTTTTCTCATGATAAATTTTGTAAACAAATACGGGGTTTCTCTCATTGAAAACCCAGTACTTCTGACAGGTTCTTCGTGATTGGACAAAACGTTTTCTCCACAGGTGAAAATGTCATTTCTCTGATTTGATTGGCTGTAAACAGCTGTGAATGGCAAAAATATTTGACGGATCATAATATTTACTTGATGACTGAGTGGGAAGTCTGTGCATCATGATTGAGAGCAAATATCTTCTGTCTGATTAGTACGGGAAAGAGCCAGTTTGAATGTGTCTCAAAAGGATAATTTTTAGAATATCCTCCTCAAAAATTCCACTCAAAACTTACTTTTGTCTCCTTGGAGTCCCCTAAAATCTTGCATGGTTGTACATCAGTGGACATGCATTAGGAACCAAGGAAGGTTCATGCATTACTGTTACATTACATGCAATAATAAGATACATGAAAAAGCTACTCAGTTCTGATTGGTTTAGGTAAATGCAGCTTATAGGTGATTCAATGCAGAAGAGGGTTTATTCAGTGCAAAGAAGTAACAAACCAGACTCAACAATTCCTTGAAATGTTTAGCCGGACCTTAAAGATGGGAAAATATCAATGTATATTATTGTTTTGATTGTACACGGTTGTTTTGACCGAACGCACAATGTCATTTGCAGGCTTTGAATAAATTATTTTTGCACATGATGTGCATGCTTTGCTTCCACATAATTATGATAAGCTTTCTCGTATTTTTTCATGTATATTATTAATATGTAATCACAATTTTTCTCCTGCAGTTTGGAATAAATAAGCACAAGTAAATTTTTTCAAAGACCACAGCCACATGGTTTAAATGTTGTAAAAGGGTTAATATTCCCTCTGCTATGCTTCAGCACGTTGATAATTTCGTTTCAAGAAAACATTTTGTTACACTGTAAATGATCATGTCTTAGGTTGGTCAAAAAACTGACAGGTGAATTCATGCGTGTAAATGAACTTTATTTCCTGATTGAATGCAAAATTCTCTGAGGGATTTGTTTGCTGACGTCATGAGCGTGCACAATAGGAATATGAAGCAAACTCATGCAATTGAATTTGATCAGACAAATTTACTAGCTATGTTGTAAAATGAATTAATCGCATGACAGTGAGGAAGGGAAATTCACTTTTTCATGTTGGTTTGATTCTTGGCTGGTTTAAAAGGCCCAGTGAGATAAACTATATACCAGGCATAAATTGACTTCACTAATTTAACAGCAGTATGTTTCACTTAATTTTCAACAGTGTCACACTTAATATTGTGAACTTTTACTCCTTTTTTTGTTGAATAGACTTCTGTCAAACATGCATTACAGACAGGGTCTTGTTTCTGCTTGCATGGTTCATTTACAGGGTATTTAAAGATATTTATCAAAGATGAGGGAAGTAATTTAATGCAATGTTTCGTCCTGAACTCCTTGTGAGAAAATGGTTTCCTCAGGTAACATGACTTGTAAACCAATTATAATGAAGAAATTGAACTCAATCAGCTGATACAGAATTTTTAAAGTTTTTTCCATTCATAACCCAAAATTAGTTAATTTGAATTAGCTGCAAGAGAAAGGTCACAACTTGAAAAGGTTTCCTTCAAACTTGAGTTGTGTTGATTTGTTCTGTGTGTTTAAATTTATTTGATTTTTAGGGTACTCTGAGGGACGGGACACAATTTGACAGCAGTATCCCTCGAGGAGAACCATTCGTGTTTACATTAGGAGTGGGACAAGTTATCAAAGGTGGATACTTGTGATATAGCATGCATGACTATGTGCAAAACAGGCTGATATTTGTAGTTTGCCATGATATTATGCATTTAAGCAAGTGATTGAACTTTCTACTGGTTTAGCAATCAATTGGCCCATGTGGGAATTGGGGAGAAGGCAAGAAACATTTGGACATCACAAGCTTATGGGGATCTATTACTTTAATTTATTAACAAGCATTGGGTTTAATGGTTTGATAAACTTTAGGTTTCAGAATGTTTATAGTTAACTTAGTTCCTCAAACATCTCATATGTTTTTTTTTACCCAACTGTTTTATTTTATAGTCATTTGTTATAAGGCAGGGAAAACAAAGCAAATAGAGGAGTGGTTTGGGACAGGTCTTGTAATGTTCTTGTTGGATTACATTGTAAAATAACCAACTGTCCAAACAGCTGTGCAATTTCACATGATATTTGTACTCAATTTGTGTGTTATTTGTACTCTCTGAGAGCAGTTGAATAATAATGTAAGATATTTGGTTATATTAGAAGTGTTTTTACTATTTAATAAGTCATGATTTAATTTTTGTTACAGGATGGGATCAAGGACTATTAAAGTAAGTTACAACTATAGACCACTCATCATTTGTTTCTAAGTCTTATTTATACACAATAAATTCCTCTCTCCACATTACTTACATTTTCAAACTACTTCCTCAAACTTTTTCAGAACTGTACTGAACTGTACAAAAGAAGTAAACTGTGAAAAGCAAGCTTTTGAACTTTGTTGTTCTGTATTTTAAAATTTTGTTAAAGCTGGGGTGAATTTTGTAGTAAAAGTGCCAGTGCATATGAGTCATGGATAAGTGATCTGAATTTAGTAGTCAAATGTAAGAGAATTTCTGGCCAGTGATTAAATGTTCAGTGTGCAAGCATGAAGTGTCAAGCATTGTGCGCATGACATGGCAAGTATAGATGTATCCATAGGACCTGACTTGTCATTCCCTAGGGGGTCTATAAAATTGACATTTTTTTGCTCTCTCTACCTAAGGCTAAGGCTGAAGAGAACCTGAACAGTTATTGATAAACTGGCTTCAAACCATTCATTAAATGTGGAACTAGCAGCAACATAAAATTCTATTTACACTCGCGGTCTAACCTGTTTAATTACTTATGGACATTAAATTACAAAACATGAAAACCAACCTCTTTGGAAGTATTTTTTATGCAATCTTGAAAAGCATCAGTTGATTAGTTGACAACTTGAAAATACAGTTATTGCAAAAATTTCAATAACTATGAAAAAAATGAAATATTTCTAGTCAGTAGAGTTAAGCCAAAGGGTTGTCATTTGATTTGGTATTGTTTTAGCCTACAAAGTATAATCTTACACTGTTAAATGGGCACTTAATTAGTACAGCAACTGACAATGGCCAATGAAAAAGAGATTCAAGAGAATAGGGTGAGCTGGGAAGAGCTGAGGAGGAAAGGGAAGAATAGGCAACAGTGACGTTCTCTTGTTATGATCATATGTGCCTTAGGGTATGATGAGGACAGGCTGACTGACATATGGTATAGTTCCTATAGTTCTTTTTGGTGCCCAGCTACCAGCTTTTCTGTTTTAACATTTTGCTGTTACTTACTCAAGGTATAAATAAACTTCTTGTTGTTATTGTTAATTAAAACTTTTTTTTTTTTGGTTTTTTTTTGTTTTTGTTCATGTTGTTTTTAGTATGTGTGAAGGAGAAAAGAGGAAACTTGTAATCCCATCAGACCTTGGTAAGTCCCTGCTCTGATATTTAAGTATATAATTTACGTCCAATGCAGTGAGTAAGAATTGTAGCTAGTAGATACTAGTAGGATTGATAACGGGGCAACTTACCTTGCTTGAAATGTAAGCTTATGTAGATATAATATATCTGTTACATACGAGCAAGCTGAATTATGCAAGAATTCTACCAGTCATATTCTTATTAAAATAATTTTCAGCTGTTTTTGCTATACTAAGAGGATTTTTCTTTCTTTTAATTGTGCAGGTTATGGGGACAGAGGAGCTCCCCCTAAGATCCCAGGTGAGTTAACAGCTTGTGGTCAACAGAGACAATGCTGAGTCAGAGCATTACATGAACACCAAAGATATTGATGCCAACCTCTGAAATTGTGAAATTGTGGAAAGACTTGATTTTGAAGTATGGCATCAAAGCCACCCCAGCCGCTTCCTCCATAGATTTGTTCATTGAAACTCTGCCAGTCGATCTTCACAGCCTGCAAGTTGCTAAATTGGATGCACATAATCTGACAAAAAAAGGAAAAACCACACAACTACAATTATCCAATAGGGAATTATTTTTAGTAATTAATTGCTCATAATTCATATTGTCTACACTCTTAAACTATGTATTTAACTAAAGGTCACCAGAGAAATTTAAAGTAACCATGGTAATGTAAAACACAGGGCGACAAACCAAGTGGTCTATGAGCAATTGTGAAGTGGCAAATAAAAATTCCTTTGACCCCTAAAAGTTACCAGCAGCTAATATCTCCCTTTAGTATATACCACACAGGTGAATAGTACTTTTTACACGCACTGATTGGCTATTTGGAAGTGAATAGCAAGTACTAATCACCTTCCAGCAGCCGATGACAGAATTGTAATCACCTTCCAGTAGCCGATTACAGAATTGTAATCAGATCTTGAACACCATATGGCGTGAAGGAAATCTTTTGATGTCAGAACTTTTTGAAAATAAAACTGTCTTTAAGAAAATCATAGAATACTTTCTGTTCATGTTAATTACGCTTCATGTTTATTTTTTTAATTTAGATTTCCGGGAAAGGACGGTTTTTGATTAACGAGGAAAGTGTTCTTTGATTTTGTGGGTAGAAAGTTATCGGTTTTTGGGCATATCTCTAGCACAGAATATGTCCCCGCATTTCAAACTTGAATTTCTCCCACGTGCTCCTCAAATAGACTTCCTGTTGACGTTTTTGAGTCGTGGGTTTGGATTGCCATGAGTTTTCTTAAAGGAACCAATCACACCCGAAGACTTCCTACTACAAGTAAGGAGAATTTGGCGCAATCATTAAAGCGTGGTGTTGTCAAGTGCCTTAACAAGCGCCTTTGCAAGCTTCTTGACCAGCGCCTTTAAAACCATGTCCTGGAGGGGCTCCAAATGACCGTTCAATCTTAAAATTAGCTAATGTAGACTAACTGAGTCTACATGCAAAATTTGAGCCAAATCGGTGAACCTGCTTGTCCGACCAGCTTCTCGGTTTGCAGTTGGACAACTAGTTTAAACAGAGTGTTCATGAACACCTTATCGCGTCCAAACGCATCGGAAAAATCTGCCGTAGGATTAGTATTATCGGTAATACTAGGATTAAATACTGGTCTTAAAGACTTGTGCCATTTTAATTCCAACAAATCTGATGTTCATGACACAAGAATTAATTATAACTTGGTATAATTCCTCCAAAAGTTAATTAAAATTTCCATTGGACTGAAACTAAGATAATCGAACAATCAAATGACCAATTATTTTTCAAGTTCTATGGAAATCTTTACAAAAACATATGGCTTTAATAGCTTTATGTAAACCTTAAGGCAAAAACCGATTGAAAAAATCTGATTTTCGTGACACAAGAACTAATTATAATTTTAAAGCATCTCAATTTCTTCAGGAAAAAAGAAACTCCTAAACTCTACACAGCAAGAGAACAACAAAAGCATTTATGATCAAATATATTTCTATAATTTGGATTTAAAGTTACTTTGCATTGCGTAAATGTTATGAAAAGAGTAATTACATGGGTCGGCAACTAAATGTCCTTGAAATCAAGTTTGACGTCGTCACTAATGAGTACAAATGGCGCCCAGTACTTCTCCTCCTTGAAGGTTTCAGAATCTCTAATACACTTCATGGCCTGATTGAGAGCTTCACTTGCCTTCTTGCCTTTAACAAGTGCATCGCAGAAGAAACTCATGAACTCCAGGGTTCCCTCGTCACCTATCGTCCACAAGGCCACGACAGATCTAGCGCCAGCACCCAAGAATGTTCGGGCGATGCCGACCACACCCTCGGCAATGACCTCCCCACGAGCACTGTGACAACAGCTTAGAACAACCAGTCGCGCCCGCAGCCCAGCTTCCATGACATCTTTCATCGTCAGTAGATAGTCCTTCTCTTGAGGCTGAGGGGTTTCTCTTGTGGTGTTTGGTGCCAGGATAGCTTCACCAGTTTCCATTTTACCATGCGCTGCAATGTGTATTAAAGCCACTGCTAAAAGTCGTTTAACACTTATTCTAATTTTCGTATCATTTACTATCAGCCGGGAACCATTTGTCGGACATAACCGCCAATGGTATTCTGAGATTGAAGCGGGCAAAAACGAGTTCGTGTCGCACTTATCGTCGTACTGTTCTTCAAGTACAAGTTTTCAAACCGCTGATATCGCGATAGGAACACCACAAGAGACTTCATCTTTTGCTGCTTCTACACCTAAACATCCTACAGATGGCACCTCCGCAGAGAGCAGGGGTGACAACGAACTTTCCTTTTTCCCATGAAACTAGCCGTCCGTTCTAAGACCTCGAGCTATTTTTTCACCACTCATTCTCGGTTTGCTTTTATTTTGTTTTGTTTTTTTGCCGTTAGCTCCGCCCTGGCTCGCTAGTAGCAGACTCGTTGTTGATTTCCTCGCAGTTAAGGATTTTTTCGCAGTATGAGACTATGAGACGGCCTTAATGAATTTTTCCATAGGGTTAGGGTTAGGCGATTACGAATGGTGTAACAGGCGTCTCCACCTGAAAGAGAGGCTATAAGGCCCCTTTATTGTATGGCAAGGTAGTCCTGAGCTGAATCCAAGCTTCCTGATTAGCTCTTACTCGGTCGGGATTTTGCCATACGGACCGTTTCCACGGAAACGGTCATAAGCCATGCCTTTTTCGTCGCGAAAGCTGGGAAATTTAAAGTAAATAAGTTTGGCCCGAGTGCTATATAGTAAGCTACTTATTTACCTCGCTTGCTCGAGCTGCACTGGGGAATATTGGTCTTCGGTCAGTTTCGGCAGTAGACCGCCATCAACCGGCCTTTAGTAAAATCCCCAGGTAAGGATATACCTTCAAGCTCTCTCAGCAAGTATCGCAAGAAAAACTCAAACAGGAAATGTGAAACAAAGGCCAAAATTGTTGATATAGTCGTCTTATCTCTCAGGTCGTTCGCGGGGAATGCCGAGGACAGACAGTCGCCATCGAGTTCTACATTAAAAGTGATGAATCCGAACCCTTAAGGCATTACCGCGAGGCGCGCAAGGAACTGAACAAGCTGCTTCGTGTACGACAGCATCCTTTCCTTACCAACATCATCAGTGTGTCCTTGTGCCCCTTGTGCCTTGTGCTGGAACTAGCAGGGCGCGGGGCTCTCACCGAGATCTTATCCAGCCCAAACTTGCTTGATCACATTGTCCTCTTTCAGACTGCATATCAAGTTGCAGACGCACTGAGATTCCTTCATGGCATAGATGTCATCTATAGAGACTTAAAACCGGAAAACGTCCTTGTTTGGTCCTTGGAGGAACACGCTGATCTTCACGTCAAGCTCATTGATTTTTGCACGGGGAACTTCGCGACTTCGACTGGTTTGATTTCATGCGCTGGATCTCCCGGTAACCATGCACCTGAGATGTTGGAATCAGCAAACAAAGAGGAATACACCTTTCAAGTAGACGTATATTCGTATGCGATCCTCCTTTACCGAATTATCACCCGCTTAATTCCGTTCATCGGATACGATTTAGGTGCAAAAATCAACGCGGCTGTAATTGCTGGAGAGCGTCCGCAGTGGAAACACGTTCCGGTAGCGACTTTCGGCTTTCCGACGCTTACCGAGCTTATGCTTTGATGCTGGTCGGGTAGGCCGACCAAGAGACCGACGACCGCTAAAATAACCAAGCAAGTCTGTCATCCCACGTTCCAGTGTTTGATAGCCAAGCAGCTTATCCCCTCAGTCTGTGCGTCATGCTTGTCTCGTGCAAGATTCCCTTGATCTGTGGTTAGCTTGTGATGACCACACAGGCAACCGAATTTTTGTCTACGATGGTCGCACACTCAGCATGAAGTTTTCTTTCTCAATTGAAACCTATCAAGAGCAGCGTCTCTTGTTTCAGATCCAGTACATGCATATTATGGCACCTTTCGTTTTAATCGCTGCCCGTGGAGAGTTTGCCTTGGTCAACGCTTACTACACTTGGAGTGAGTCGCGTTACAAGTACGTGGCATCCATGAGATTCGACCAACAAGTTAGCTGCGTCGCATCAAACGATGAGTACGTGTATGTTGGACTTTACGATGGAAATGTGCATTGTATCTTGGAAACAGATATGAAGAAGAGCTTCAGGAAACGTGCTTTTCACAGCTTCAATGTTGGACGCCACCGAATTCTGGTACTCACAGCGGCACAGGATAAGCTGTCCACGAGCCGATTCATTTATAGATAATTAACGAAACCAGGCGAAATGGAGGCTTTCGACATCGACGCCGTATGGTACGGTGGCCCTGAGGGACTGGAGAACAACCCACAAACGCAAATCTCCTTTCTAAAGGTTTCTCGTGACGAAAAAAGCGTTTTGTCTGTGTGCAGGTCCGTACTCAGCAAATGGGATTCAGAGAACAGGCAGAACCACTTCAGCGTTGACTGCGCAGTGTTCTAAGGAGTCTCTCTGCGGAATCCGAGTCACACAAAGATCACGATGACGCAGTTGCGTGTATTACCTGCGTGGAGCCCACCACCCATCTATTTGGGTGGGCATTGCGAATGGCCACATAATGATATTTGATTCGGAAACAGAACATCTACTCACTTGGTTTCATCCTTTTGATGAAACGCGTAGTCTGACCGTTATCAATTCTCCTGGTCCCTGCGGCACTGAGCAAGGATACGTCATAAGTACCGGGAAAGGATTAAGACCGGACGGATTAGGCCCGGTATGCGAACTTTCGGCGGAACGGGTGACATAAATCCCGAGGGAAGATACAAATCGTAAAGTGAGTTAACCGGTACGAAAGAAGATTCACAGAAGAAATTCAACAGGAAGAAAACCCAGGACTCCTACTCCGCCCATAGACGAGCAAGAAAAACGATACCGTAGACGCAAACCCTACTTTGCGGTCGAAATGTTCCATGATGATGTGGGAACTGTTGTCCAAGAATGGCTTCGCAAGAGTAGAAGCCAAAAGCGGCCGAGGACGCTTTTCTTGCAGCCACAGTACCAAAGCAAAAAGTAGTGATCAGCCCTTGCAGAATGGCGATGAAAGTAATCAACAGTGAAAGTTAGAGAGAGTTCATTGTCATGGTCTCATGCTTTGAAGATCAGGTAAAAATACCCTGAAGAGACTGGCTAGCATATGACGGGTGTCGGGGCAAGCGCGTTAGCTCGACCATTTAAACCAGAGTGGTTTCTGATTCTTATTTCCATTCATTGCGTGGAATAAAATAATAGAGAACTGCTGGCTTGGCCAGTTTTCGATAAATACAGTCTTTCCAACTTTGGGTCTCAGGGTCTGTCTTCTTTCCATCGGCTAAGGTAGAAGAGAGAGAGACAGGTCAGAAGTGGGAAGAATAGAAAGCATAAAAACGTCTCATCTGTTTTGGTGTAAAGAAAATTCAATTGAGGTGCCTTGATGTTGCTTGTGTACAATGTGGGCCAAATTCTATGTAATAGGAGGTCTTGGCTTTTTCTCCTTCTCCCGGCTTTGTAACCGACCCTTTTCCCTCCTTCCTCTTTCTTTTCCTACTTTCCCCTTTATTTGGTTACAGTAAAAGTCTAATATGCATTAAAATCTCTGTATGACCACTTTAAAGCAAGCAACGCCTCACAGACCTCTTTGCACTGGATACACCTCAGACACGAGTGCAACTTTGAAACTGTTGAATTATGCAATTCTTATTAATAGCCTGTTAGTGGAGTATTTTGCATATGGTTGGGTAAACAGAGTAAGACAGAAGATCGACTGCCAGCATTTCACTTCCTTACACTAAATAAGACCATAAAGCGTTAATCTCGTACTCGTGATTATTCATCTCAAAGACTTTCGAAGCTCTTTTTCCGACCCCGCGTAACCTTTGTCGTGGAAACTTTCATACAAGTTAACTCTCTTTACTCGAATTGCGTTTCCTGACAAGTCAAAGCGAAAAATTATGTGGCCCGAAACACTGAAAGACTCTGGGACTTTTTTGTATTGTTGTTGTGATGAGAGGGTAGGGAGCTTCATAGTTTAGTCCCCTTCAGGTTTCGCTAGTTAAGGGTCGTTTAGGTACATTTCCCAACTACAGTGCTTTGTATCTCAAAAAAAAATTATGATGAAACGGTTTCTTCACGGCCGTTGGCGTCTTCGCAGAACAGGAGTTAAAATCAAATGTTTTGAGGAATCATAAATCTTCTTTTTGAGATGAACCTATAAAACAATTAAATATTTATCGTTGAAACCGAGAATATTCTTTGTATTTCCAATGCCCTATCAACAAAATTGTACCAAAAGCCGGAATTTCACAAAAAGAAGGCATAGAATTTTGTAATCGATGAATATCGTGATCGGGAAAGAGGTAACTGTTGAGAATATTTGATCAAAAATTCCACTCAAAACTAGTTTTTGTATTTCTAGGAGTTCACCGGAATATTCCATGGTTATAAGTCAGTAGACACACATTTAACTAGGGAGGTTCTCGCGTTAATATTACTTTAAATGTAATTCTTCATGAATTTCTGTTTCTAGCGCGCGCTTAAAAGAAAAAGCTGCTATTATGACGCACTCTGATCATAAAACAGACTCGGGGAAAACATTACAAAGGCCAAGATGGTTTTTGTAACGTCTTGGATAAGTTTTTTTACATTCGCATGTTTCAGGGACTATTTTTGGCAGAGGTCAGAAACTGAATGCAAAGAAAGGTAGGTCTTTAATCATTCAGTCCAATTTCGATAAAAGTTTTAAGTTTGTAAATAAACAACGGAAAACTTTTACAGACCGATTGTGCGGCTTGATTTATCAAACTATTAAATTGCTTCACTAGCTACCCGACATTAATGTGAACATTCAAGAGTTTAAGTTCAAAATATGTGTTTGAGGCAGGCTCAAGGTATTTAACATCTTAATGCACTAAATAAATGGAAAGAACAAGGCTTTATTTTTGCAAAACTTGTGTTGCGACCAAGTATTAATGGTAGTCGTCATTGTGACGCTAACATTTCTTTTTTTCAGTTTTGAAGAGGAAGCCCGCAAGAAAGATAGAGAACAGAAAAGACAGGTATTCTGATTTCTTTGTAATGCCGTGTCAACGTAGCAGATTGATTATTATTATTATTTTTTTTTTTAAAGCTTCTGATGAGGAAGGATTACATGCTAACAACTGAACTGCGTAGAGCGGGCCCGGCATAATTATCGAAAACTCCAAACCCCAACAAAACAAAATTTAAAAGTTTCATCAGAACTATTTATTTGGGCCATATTCAATTTCAGAGGTACTAATGCAAAAAGATTTTCTTTAATTGTATTTTTCAAAGAAGAAAATAAACTATGAAAATTGTCAAGAGAAGATAAGAATCACACCATGATGGGAAAAAAAAACAAATCGAATGGGAAAAAAAAAACAAATCGAGCAAGTCTTTAGTTTACTTTTTTTTCAGTTGTCAAGGTTTCGACAACACCCATTATAAAAAGGAGAGGACATTTCTGAAAGTAGAACGCATAATAAATAACAAGTACATGATTCCGTTTCTCTCCTGACAAATTAGAGCTGCAACGTTAATTCAACGGGTTCGAAGCCTATATGGTTGACTTTAGAGCTCTAATATTTCAGACTCTTTGAAAATCTAATCAATCTTTGTCCAATATATCACAAATGAAAAAACTTTGAATGATAAAACCTTTGTTTTACTCACCCACCGAAGCGGCGCAGCAGTGTTTTTAAAAGCTGCTAACTTGTCAACTAGTGTCATATGCTTTAAACATTTTTAAATGGAATATCTTCCTTGAGGAAATTAAGATGTAGTTTACTTGTAACTTTCTAAATTTTACTTTGTAGAAAGTGGAAAGTAGCGGATTGATATAAAGGTAGCCATTAGGGGGGAATGATTTTCCGTCTCTGTCTTTTCTTTGAGGGGCTATTGGAGAATATTTTCCATTTTTGAAATTCCATTACAGCATTGCAGCATGCAAAACAAAAATTTATATTCACAGAAAACTTTTAAACTAAACTGAGCAAGCAGCGTAACATATTGATTAATTGCTTCAGATTTCTCAATTTAATTTCTTCTAAGTGAAATAAAGCTGTCAGGGACTGTCTATTTGCTCGAGTTGTCACACATCTTGTTACACCCTCCGTCAGTCGGGTTTTTGAATCGGCTGTTTGGACGCACTCAAGTTACCGAAACGTTGTGAAAAGGTTGCCGTCATAAGGAGGTGGGCGTTGTGAGGTGGATGTTACTCTTGAGAGAAAGACATTGTTGGAATGTGGCGTTTGTTAAAAGTTAATCGTTGTTGAGAAAGTTCCCGTTGTAGGGAGAAGACCGTTTTCAAAACGTTGGCCGCAGCAGTTCCACAGAAAAAAAAAGACCGTTGATATCAACATCAACAGAATATGAAGTTTTTAAGATGATGAAACTGGAAGTTTATGCGATGATCATGGATATTTTGGATGCTGATATTAACTATTAATATCAAAATGTTTGTCCTCTTTGCAGAATGAATGCGCCTCCATAATTCAACGGGCTTGGCGTCGACTAATATCAAAAAGACTTGAATTTCAGGTAATTTGATATAGTAATGACAGTATAATAACTGTTATACATGGTAAATTAAATCATTTTGTTTTATGGAGCGATTTTAGTTGTATAAAATGATGGGATTATTTTAAAATAAAACGGGAAGGGGGTTCCAAAGGTTAGCATTAAAACATTTATTTCAAGATGTTTACAATGAGTTCGCCTTAAAGGAAATCCAAATCGAGAGTGGAATATTTCACTCCATGTACACTGGGCTTCAACTTTCCAACTCTTCAAAGATGCTTATGGTGACATCTTATTACAATCACAATGAAAATAAATAGATTAGAAAAAACAAAACAAAACAAAACAAACAAACAAACAAACGTGATGCTTGTGAAAAACATCCTAACCGAGACTGAACCAGCAATATGTCATTGTGAGGGGGTGGCTGTTGTAAAAAAGAGGCAGTTCATGGGAAGGTGTCCTGTGTAGAGAGGTGAACCTTTGAGGAGGTGGTCATTTCTAGGAAGGCAGCCGGTGTACGGAGGTGACCGTTGTAGGTGGATGACTGCAGAAGAGACTTTTCGTAGACAGTAGACCTCTATTATGTAATTCAACATGGCATGACGACTTTAAGATGCTGATATTCTATGCTGACATTATCAAAATTGTTGTTTACTTTGCAGAATAAATGTGCCGTTAAGATTCAAAAGGCGTCACGTCTTATAAATCTTAAATGCAAGTTTCACTATTAAAACTTTCTCGGCGATTTTAGTCGTAGTCTGATCCAACAAGATGAGATTCTTTCTAAAAAGCATTATTTGTTCCCTTTCGACTCCATGGCCTTATCAGGGAAATGGATTCACAATTATCATCAGTATATAACTACTTATCAGTTTGTAATTACTGCTTTTCTCCTGACAGAACAAGGCTGTCAAATTAATACAGAGAGCTTGGAGAAAGCATCGAAGAACGAGGAGGGTAATAATTTTTAGCCATAGTATTCTGTATTTTTCATATTTTATCTGTAGTCCGTGTTCAACTTCTACATTTTTAATCCTCCACATAGACCAAAAAAATTGACTGTAAGGGGAGAGAATTTTTTTGTCTTTGAAAACACATCTTGTTGCCCCCCCGTCAGTCGGGTTTTTGAATCGGCTGTTTGGACGCACTCAAGTTACCGAAACGTTGTGAAAAGGTTGCCGTCATAAGGAGGTGGGTGGTGTGAGGTGGTTGTTGTTCTTGAGACGAGGGCATTGTTGGAATGTGGCGTTTGTTGAAAGTTAATCGTTGTTGAGAAAGTTCCCGTTGTAAGGGGAAGACCATTTTCAAAACGTTGGCCGCAGCGGTTCCACAGAGAAAAATAGACCTTTGATATCAATGTGAACAGAATATGAAGTTTTTAAGATGATGACACTGGAAGTTTATGCGATAATCATGGATATTTTAGTTGCTCATATTAACTGTTTATATCATTATGTTTGTTCTCTTTGCAGAATGAATGTGCGTCCATAATTCAACGGTCTTGGCGTCGACTAAAATTTAAAAGACTTGAATTTCAGGTAATTTGAGTTGGGAGACGCTTAAGTTGCTGTGTCATTGTAAGGGGGTGGCTGTTGTAAGAAAGAGGCGGTTCATGGGAAGGTGTTCTGTGTAGAGAGGTGGCCCTTCTCCAGGGTTGGTCATTTCTAGGAAGGTAGTCGGTGTACGGCTTAACTGCAAGTTTCATTATTTTTAAAACTTTCTCGGCGATTTCAATTGTAGTCTGATCCAACAAAATGAGATTCTTTCTAAAAGGCATTATTTGTTTGCTTTCGACTCCATAGCCTTGTCAGGGAAATGGATTCACAATTATCATCAGTATATAATTACTTATCAGAATATAATAACGGCTTTTCTCTTGACAGAACAAGGCTGTCAAATTAATACAGAAAGCTTGGAGAAAGCATCGAAGAACGAGGAGGGTAATAATTTTTAGCCATAATATTCTGTATTTTTCATATTTTATCTGTAGTCCGTGCTCAACTTCTGCATTTTTAATCCTCCACATAGACCAAAAAAATTGACTCCAAGGGGAGAGAATTTTGTTGTCTTTGAAAACACATCTTGTTACACCCCCGTCAGTCGGGTTTTTGAATCAGCTGTCTGGACGCATTCAAGTTACCGAAACGTTGTGAAAAGGTTGCCGTCATAAGGGGGTGGGCGTTGTGAGGTGGATGTTGCTCTTGAGACGAGGGCATTGTTGGAATATGGCGTTTGTTAAAAGTTAATCGTTGTTGAGAAAGTTCCCGTTGTAAGGAGAAGACCATTTTCAAAACGTTGGCCGCAGCGCTTCTACAGAAAAAAATAGACCTTTGATATCTACATAAACAGAATATGAAGTCTTATGAGGATGAAACTGGAAATTTGATGCGATAATCATGGATATTTTAGATGCTCATATTAACTGTTGATATCATAATGTTTGTTCTCTTTGCAGAATGAATGTGCGTCCATAATTCAACGGGCTTGGCGTCGACTAAAATTAAAAAGACTTGAATTTCAGGTAATTTGATATAGTAATAACAGCATGATCACAGTTATACATGGTAAATTCAATCATTTAATTTTATGGAGCGATTTCAATTATATAAAATGGTGGGATTATTTTAAAATAAAAAGGGAAGGGGGTTCCAAAAGTTAACGTCAAAAATTTTCTTTCAAGTAGTTTACAATAAATTCGCTTTTTTAAAGGAAATCCAAATCGAGAGTGAGATATTTCACTCCATGTACACTGGGCTTCAACTTTACAACTCTTCAAACGTGCTTATGGTGACATCTTATTAAAATCACAATGAAAATAAATAGATTAGAAAAAACTAAACAAAACAAACAAACAAACAAACAGTGATGCTTGCGAAAAATTTCCTAATCGAGACTGAACCAGCAAGGTACAGAAGTTGAAATATGATTTATATTTCATAGCAGGGTTGGTCATCCCTTAATTAAGTATTGTAGAAATTTCATCAATTCTTTAGTGATGTAAAGCCGACAGGGTTCTCAGTATCAAATATTTTTCTAAATTGGGCCTTGACGAAAGAAGAGTCTCGTTGCAGTTGGAAGACGCTTAAGTTGCTGTGTCATTGTAAGGGGGTGGCTGTTGTAAGAAAGAGGCGGTTCATGGGAAGGTGTTCTGTGTAGAGAGGTGGCCCTTCTCCAGGGTTGGTCATTTCTAGGAAGGTAGCCGGTGTACGGCTTAACTGCAAGTTTCATTATTTTTAAAACTTTCTCGGCGATTTCAATTGTAGTCTGATCCAACAAAATGAGATTCTTTCTAAAAGGCATTATTTGTTTGCTTTCGACTCCATAGCCTTATCAGGGAAATGGATTCACAATTATCATCAGTATATAATTACTTATCAGAATATAATTACGGCTTTTCTCTTGACAGAACAAGGCTGTCAAATTAATACAGAAAGCTTGGAGAAAGCATCGAAGAACGAGGAGGGTAATAATTTTTAGCCATAATATTCTGTATTTTTCATATTTTATCTGTAGTCCGTGTTCAACTTCTACATTTTTAATCCTCCACATAGACCAAAAAAATTGACTCCAAGGGGAGAGAATTTTGTTGTCTTTGAAAACACATCTTGTTACACCCCCGTCAGTCGGGTTTTTGAATCAGCTGTCTGGACGCATTCAAGTTATCGAAACGTTGTGAAAAGGTTGCCGTCATAAGGGGGTGGGCGTTGTGAGGTGGATGTTGCTCTTGTGACGAGGGCATTGTTGGAATATGGCGTTTGTTAAAAGTTAATCGTTGTTGAGAAAGTTCCCGTTGTAAGGAGAAGACCATTTTCAAAACGTTGGCCGCAGCGGTTCTACAGAAAAAAATAGACCTTTGATATCTACATAAACAGAATATGAAGTCTTAAGATGATGAAACTGGAAATTTGATGCGATAATCATGGATATTTTAGATGCTCATATTAACTGTTGATATCATAATGTTTGTTCTCTTTGCAGAATGAATGTGCGTCCATAATTCAACGGGCTTGGCGTCGACTAAAATTAAAAAGACTTGAATTTCAGGTAATTTGATATAGTAATAACAGCATGATCACAGTTATACATGGTAAATTCAATCATTTAATTTTATGGAGTGATTTCAGTTATATAAAATGGTGGGATTATTTTAAAATAAAAAGGGAAGGGGGTTCCAAAAGTTAACATCAAAAATTTTCTTTCATGTGGTTTACAATAAATTCGCTTTTTTAAAGGAAATCCAAATCGAGAGTGAGATATTTCACTCCATGTACACTGGGCTTCAACTTTACAACTCTTCAAACGTGCTTATGGTGACATCATCTCATTACAATTACAATGAAAATAAATAGATTAGAAAAAACAAAACAAAACAAAACAAACTAACAAACAAACAAACAGTGATGCTTGTGAAAAACATCCTAACCGTGACTGAACCAGCAAGGAACAGAAGTTAAATCATTTTTCATAGCGTCCCTTAATTAGGTATTGCAAAAATTTCACCCACTCTTTAGTGATATAAAGCTGACAGGGTTCTCAGCAACAAATATTTTTCTAAACTGGCCCTTGACGAAAGATGAGTCTCGTTGCAGTTGGGACGCGCTTTAGTTGCTGTGTCATTGTGAGGGGGTGGCTGTTGTAAGAAAGAGGCGGTTCATGGGTAGGTGTCCTGTGTAGAGAGGTGGCCCTTCTGAGGAGGTGGTCATTTCTAGGAAGGCAGCCGGTGTACGGAGGTGACCGTTGTAGGCGGATGACTGCAGAAGAGACTTTTCGTATAAAGTAGACCTCTATTATGTAGTTCAACATGGCGTGACGACTTTAAGACGCTGATATTTTATGGTGACATTATCAAAATTGTTATTTACTTTGCAGAATAAATGTGCCGTTAAGATTCAAAAGGCGTCACGTCTTTTAAATCTTAACTGCAAGTTTCATTATTTTTAAGACTTTCTCGGCGATTTTAGCTGTAATCCGATCCAACAAGATGAGATTCTTTCTAAAAGACATTATTTGTTCCCTTTCGACTCCATGGCCTTATCAGGGAAATGGATTCACAATTATCATCAGTATATAATTACTTATCAGTATATAAATAATGCTTTTCTCCTGACAGATTGAGGCCGTCAAATTAATTCAGAAAGCTTGGAGAAAGCATCGAAGAACGAGGAGGGTAATAATTTTTAGCCATAGTATTCTGTATTTTTCATATTTTATCTGTAGTCCGTGTTCAACTTCTACATTTTTAATCACAAAGACACAAAAAATTGACTGTAAGGGGAGAGAATTTTTTGTCTTTGAAAAAATTACTAGTGCTTATTTATTCCAGATTGGACAAGAAAAAAAATAAATGATTTTATTACTAAAAAATGACAAACGTGAATTGAGATCATCCTGGATTATCTACACAATTAAGCTTTATCATTATATAAGTACTGCTTTTCTCCTAACAGATCAAAGCAACCAAATTAACACAGCAAGCTTGGAGAGACTACCAAACTGGACGAAGGGTAATAATTTTTAGCCTCAGTGATCTAAAGTTTACTTATTTAATCTGTAGTCCGTTTTCAACTTTTACATTTTTAAACATCCCAAAGACCAAAAAATATTGACCGTAAAGGGAGTGAATTTTTTGTCTTTAAAAAAATTACAAGTGCTTATTTATTCCAGATTGAAGAAGAAAAAAATGATTGATTTTGTTACTAATAAATAACAAACGTGA